GCAGTTTACTGGGATGCAAAGATCTCAGAATTGTTTTTCTTGCTTAAACAGGGATGACGTAAATAACTTGTCTAGACCAGATCTCTCAAAATATTGTCTCACAGTGGATATTACTTTGTGAAATAAAATAGCATTCTTCTAAACTTTTGTTAAAATACCATGTTTTCTTTATACAATAAATTTTGTCTTAAATGTTCACTTCTGTGGAATAAAGAGTGTGTTATTTTCCTTCTGTTCTCTCATCCAGAGTCTCAAAGCATTCCCATCATTTGTGGAGCACTCAGAATTCAGGTCATCATCAATGCCTGTGCATAAACAATGTAACAATGCCATGACTTTAAAGGGGTCTGAGCTCTCTTTACCTCCTCAACATTAACAGCGTTGCTTTAATCAGAGATAGTAATCACTACATCAGGAAAACCTGTTCAGTTCTGTTTACTAATAGGATTAGTAGAGAATCTTCAAACAGACTCTGTACATAGACTTTATTTTCTCACTGCTTGCCTAAAAACACAAACAGTGATAACTGATCTATTTTAGGATGGTGAGGAATTTGAAATTGGTAGTATTCCAATGCCAAAGACGACTGGACGAGTTGTTCCTATAGGTACTACAGATGGAGCATAATACAAGAAGGGATATGAACACAGGATCGGTCGACGAAACAGTGGTTGAGATGGAAAAAAAATTGATAAGATGTTAGTCAAGCAGACTGTTCCATGGACCGAGTGGCCTGTTTCCGCACTGTAGAAATTCTACGAAACTCTGAAGTTCAATCACTGGCATCCTGAAACACATATTCCAAATATGAATAAGTATGAAACTTTCAGTTCACTCACTAATCTCTCAATGTTAAATATTCAGTTAGCCTATTTCTTCGGCGCTCATCTTGTTTTGTTTCATTGAAGTTGAACATGCATCAAAATAAAATTGATTGTGAACAATTTTCTCAACTTATCCTCTTTTTGAGCCCCATTTTCATCTAATTTTCTCATCACTGTTGCTAAAAGTTCAAAAACAACAAGTTAGTTCAACAAAAATTACATTTAAAACATCCTTAAACATTTTATATAATTTACTTATTTTGCTTTATTTCCTTTTGATGTTGAAGGGATTGACTCATGCTGACGCGAGGTCAAATGTCAAATCCAAAAATGTGGCCTAATAGATGACTATAATGACCGCAAATGTTTTTGCCTGCAAGGTACTATTTAAAGGCGTGCAGCTGTATCCACAATGACCTCTAGTGTTCAGAAGTATAAGCAGTTTTTTAAACAGTATTTTACACAAATCATTGATTTAACAGCACAAAAATATATTATCCATTGAGTTTCTCAAGAAATAAGTAGTAATTTCAGTTTTCAACTGAATATATGCAAACTTATGAAGAGCGATAGATACAAAATAGGACAAAATATTAAGCAGCCATTGGTGAAGATCATAGCATGCAGGGAAAAATACCATAGTCCAATTAATAACAATGGATAAGGATGAAACAAGACATTTCCTTCATCCATCCAAAAAAACCTATGGTCTCCATTACATTATTCAGCCTTTATTGCTCCACTACTAGATCGGGAAGTCATTTCTGAATTGCCTTGAGAATTTAATCCTGTACCTTCCTCTGCTTCAACTGAGCCCCGTCCTCACGGAGAGAGTTTAATTCTTTGACATAATTCAGGGTTTAACTTGTTTATTTTAGCAATATATATTGTGCCTCCATGAGATACCTTTTCCTTATAATTAAGTATCAAGATCAATTTTGCTGACTCTTTACTACTTCGAGGACTGAATGTTTCCCTCATGTCTAAATGTCTAGGCCTAGATAGTACTCAAGGTGTAATATATATAGCACACTATGCAATGAAAGCTCAACTTCATCTGACTTGCACTCAACATGTTTGTTTATAGATAGCCATTCATAGAGTCATAGTTATACAAGCACAGGAACAAAGACTTCGGTCCAATTTGCCATGCCAACCAGACATCCCAATCTAACCTAGTCCGACTGGACAGCATTTGGTCCACATCTCTCTAACCCTTCCTATTCATATACACATCAAGATGCCTTTTTAATGTTCAATTTGTACCCACCTCCACCGGCAGCTCGTTCCATACTCGCACCACCCTCTCAGTGAAGGGGTTGCCCCTCAGGTCCTTTTTAAATCTTTCCCCGCTCATCATCAACCCACGTCCTCTAGTTTTGGACTCCCCTACCATGGGAAAAAGACCCTGGCTGTTCACTCTAACCATGCCCCTCATGATTTTATAAACCTCTGTAAGGTCACCCCTCAGCCTCCAACATTGCAAGGAGAAAAGCCCCCACCTATTCCATCTCTCCTTATAACTCAAACTCTCCAGTCCTAGCAACATCCTTGTAAATCTTCTCTATACCCTCTCAAGTTTAACAATATCCTTCCTTTAGAACGGCAACCAGAATTGTACGTAAAATTCCAAAAGTGGCCTCACCAATGTCCTGTACAGCCACAGCATCCCAATGTTATTCAATGTTATGACCAACAAAGGCAAGCATGCCATATGCTTTCCTCACCACCTGTCTTCCTACGACTCCACTTAAGGAAATTTACACCTACACCCCTAGGTCTTTTTGTTTGGTAACACTCACCAGGGGCCTACCATTTACTGTATATCCTCTTTACTTTTCAGACAGCTGAAATGATTTCAACCAGAATAAACTCTTAGTCTAAGATAGTAATTGATAGGTGCTGGTTTTCTTTAAAGGAAGACTGTTGTACAGCCCAGGTTTTGAACCTAATGTTTAGGATTTATGTAGATTTTTAACCAAATGCACAGGATTATAATGTTATGATTTTTTTGTCAGTTCATTCACAGTATGTGGTCATCACTGTCAATTACTGCACATATTGCCATTTCTAATTGTTCTCAAGAAGTTGGCTCATCTTCTTAAGCCACTGCAGTTCACATGGTGAAGATGTTGCCCACAGGGTTCTTAATTAGAGAGTTCCAAGATCCTGACCTCGTGGCAATGCTATACATTTCCAAATCTGAATGGTGTACAAGTGTGGGAAATTTGCAGGAAGTGATGCTCCCCACCGTCCTTCAAATTACAGATTTGAGACGTTGCTGCAATAGTACATGTTGATGGTACACGCAAGACCTCAGGTGGCGGGGTAGGCCATTTAACCGATTGAGTCTACTCTGTCAGACAGAAAGATCATGGCTAATCCAATTGTGGCCTCGATTGTTCTTCACTGACAGCCCCTGCCACCCCACAAACAGCAAAACATCCTTCCAAGATCTACCCTCTCAACTGTCAGAATCATACGGTACACAACAGGCTCTTTAGCCTATCAAATCTGCACTGGCAAAAAAACACTACTCTAAATCTGTACTAGTCCCAATGTCCAGTACTTGGTGCATAGCCTTGAATATTACGATATTTCAAGTGCACGTCCAAGTTCTTTTTAAAAGTTGAGGTTTCCCACCTCAACTACATTCCAAATTCTCATCACCCTCTAGGTGAATAAAAATCCTTAAATCCCCTGTAAATCTCCTGCCTTTCACTTTAAAAATATGCCCCCTTGTCACTGATCCTTCAAGTAAAGGGAACAGCTGCTTCCTATTCACCCTGTGTATGCTCCTCATAATCTTACTCGCCTCAATCAGATCCCTTCACAGCCTTGTCTGCTCTAAAAAATAACACTCGAGATTATTCAGCCTCTCTTTGTAGCTAAACACTCCACCTCAGACAACTTGCTGCAGAATCTACTCTGCACCCTATCCAGTGCAATCATATCCTTCCTATGGTGCAGCGACCAAAATGGCACACAATACTCCAGCTGTGGTCTATCCAGAAACCCCTCAAGACTTCATGCATTTCAATAAGTTCACTTTTTAATCGTCCAAATCCAATAGATGTAGGACCAAACTAATTAACCATTTTTCATAAGAAAGACTTTCATCCCAGGAACAACTTAAGTGACCCTTCTCTGAACTGCTTTGAATGCAATTTTTCTTTAAATTAGAAAAGACCAAAACTTTACTCTAGATGTGGTCTAATCAAGGTCTTAGACACCTGCAGTCAAACTTCCCTAATGATATATTCTATTTCCTTCTCAATAAACAACAGCATTTCGTTTACCTTCCGAAACACTTGCTGCACCTGTATACTAACTTTTCGTGATATACCAGGGCACTCAGATCTGTCTGCACCAAGTTCTGCGATCTCTCTCCATTTAAACAGTATACTGCTTTTCTATTCTTACTGTCAAAGTGGGAAAAGTGCACACTAGTTCCCATTATAGATCAGCTGCCAATTTTGTTGTCTATTTAGTTAATTAGTCTGTATATCTTTGTATCCTCTTCACCTCCACTTGACAATTTGCTTTCCCAAACTACCTTGGTGTCATCAGTAAATTTAGTTAACATACACTCAGTCTCTTCATCCAAGTCAGACCACAGCAAGGGTATACCGGTTGGGGGGAGGAGTGGGGAGTGAATGAGATGCTGATCAACTGTGATGCTTTGTACTGGATGCGTGAGAGTCTCGCTCTGCACGCATAGTGGAAACGTTACTTTCATTATTAGGCTGTTAAATGGCAAGTAGTCCAGGTGTTGCTGTGTGGAGATATGGGTTGCTCCACTACTTAAGGAATTGCAAATGCAACTGAATGCAATGATCACTGAACATCCCCATTTAAAAAAGTACGATGGAGGGAAAGTCATTGATGTCTACGCAGAACCATCAGGCCATGTCCATTTTTGCAGTTAAAAAAAAAAATCATGAAAAAGAAACTTATTTTCACCAAATATGAAATTCTACTAATCTTTGATCTATTATAATCAGAAGATGAATTAGAATTTAGTATATACGATCCCAAAAGACTGAGTTGTTACTATTATTGCTTGCCCAAAAATATAAAATACCTACAACACAGTTAAATTTAAAAAAAGTCTCAATATCCATCTTTGTCTTTTCTAGCAGAGTACATCAATTATATTGCTACAAACCACCTTACCGACAAAAGTCTCCATGTCACAGAACGAACTTCTCTTGGAACTCCTGACCAACTATATTTTCTTAATTCTTCTGTAAAAAACAAGATAAAATAACAAATAAATTATTGTAGATGCCTTTTAAGCCAATAGGAACCTTGTGAAATACTACAAAGCAGCACAGGAATTGATCCCTTTTTTAAAAAAAAGCCCTGATATTACTCTAATTATTCCCTTTCCACATCAGCCTCTGTTCCACAGAACTGGGAGAAAACTCCAATTTGGGAAAAACAGACTGGCTTCAGATGTGAACACCAACAATCAACATTTCAATAATAATTAACCTTTTGATGGATTAACGCAACTTTTACTTTCCCTCAACTCTGAAGTTTTCTTGTCTTGCTCATGGTAAGTTCAGCAACACAAAGTAATGATAGCCAGAGTTTTATGCCATGTAACAGTATATATTATTCACTCCTGTGCCTGATTTGACTTTCCTTTCAAGCTACAAAGAGTCAATATCTAAATACACACAATCTGAGGATAGAAATTCAATTATTATTTATTCTGGATAGGCAGATCGCTATAATTATTTATTACATAAAGAAAAGAATGAAGTCATGTTATTGCATATTAAACTGGTTAAGAAATGTTCTATGATTTTCATGTTCTTGCAATTCTACTGAATTTCTACAAATTGCTAGCTAGCACAATTTTAATCTATTCCAGTAGAAAAATGAAGGTAGATATTTAAACAACATTACCCCTGAAGCAGCTTTAGCTTCACTCCAGATCCATTTTTTAAAAATACTATCGCCAGTTTTAATTCAAGGTCTCATTTAAGCATTTGACAGCTGACCAGAGCACATAAGCAAATTAAAAATTAATTTGTTCCTCCAACATGAGTAAATGTTGCAATATTGAAGGACAGAGGGTAGAAATCCACAGGTGAAAGCAAGAGCACTTATACCAAGTTGAAAACAAAATACTACTTAAAACCTGCTGATGTTTTTCCCTATTAATCTTGCTTAAAGAATACGCATGCACACTTTGCTGATGGAAAAAAAAAACTAATTTTAGATATATTAAGAAAGTGTCAAAATCTTAACCAAGAAGCATACATGAAAATGGAAAACTATTTGTTGTTGTTATTTCAAACAGATTCCATCACATACTTATGCACAAATTAAGGTAATGTGCCCAGACCAGAGGCCAATAATTATGCCTTTTTGCTCATCTATCTAATTTATTTGTTATTCTCTCCTGCTCATCATCATGTTAACTTTCATTTTTCCCTCTTGCATGCTTTTATTCCAGTCTATCTTAACCCATTACTACTCTTGCCTTCCTGTTTTCAGACTACAGCGCAACATTCAAACCTCCTTTTTGAGGCCATAATTACAAACACGCACTATTGTTTCTTTTAACAGTCACCCTGACAACCAGAAACCCCAATACCTCATCTTCCTTTCTCCAACTTTCCCGATAGGTACATTGGAAGCTAACCTCAACAGCCTCCTCCTCACTCAGCTTACCCCATCCAGCAGAGCAAGAATATTTATATTAGTCTGGGTACTAGTATTAGTATATTGACAAGTAATATTTGTGCCACACAAATGCCAGGCAATGGCCATTTCTAATAAGAGACAATCACAGAATCCCTGCAGTGCAGGTAGGAGCCTTCAATCCATTGACTCTGCAACAATCCTCTGAAGAGCACGGCACCCTATCCCCAAATTACACCACATTAACCATGGCTAATCCAATTAGCCTACACAGCTCTGAACACTACAGAGAAATTTAACATGACTATTCCACCTACCTGCACATTTTTGGACTGAGCACCCAGCAGAAAGCCATGCAGACATGGGGACAATGTAAAACTCTACGAAGTCACCGGAGGCTGAATTCAAACCGAAGTCGTCGTTGTTGTGAGGTAGCAGTGCTAACCACTATGCCACAGCCTCTTGACATTCCATGGTGTTACGATCATCAAATACCCCCACTACCAACATCCTTGGGGTTATCATTGACCAGAAACTTAACTGGACTCGGGACATACTTAGCAGCTACTGACCAGGTCAGAGGCTAGGAACACTACAGCGAGGAACTCACCTGATTCCCTCAAGCCTGTCTACCACCCACAAAGCACAAGTCATGTGTGATGGAAAATTCCTTGCTTCCTTGAATGGGTGCATCTCCAACAACACTAGGAGCTTGACATGATCCTTGGCAAAGCAGTCCATTTGATTGGCGCCACATCCACAAGCATTCTTTTCCTCCACCACTGAAGTTCAGTGGCAGCAGTGTGTACTATCTGCAAGATGCACCGCACAAATCCACCAAAGATACTTGGATTGCACCTTTCAAACCCATGACCACTTACATCTAGAAGTACATAATGGCAGATATATGGGAATACTACCACCTGCAATTTCCCATTCAAGCCATTCATTATCCTGACTGGAAAATATACCGCAATTCCTTCTCTGTCGCTGGGTCAAAACTCTGGAGATCATTTCCTAATGGCATTGCAACAGTTCAATGCAGCAACTCACCATCACTGTCTGAAGGGCAACTATGGGCGGGCAATAAATGCTGACCAAGCCAGTGACATCTATGTCCCACAAGTGAATTTTTAAAAAATCCTTGGGGTGATATCATCTTGCCAAAGCTTTCTTTATGATTATGTTATCCAACACATGCATAGTTCAAACAATCATGGTAGCAGTTCAGTCCTAATTGCCAAGACAAACTTGGACTCCTTCCCCTGTGGCACTTACTCATTCTTTGAACACCCCTCACCGCACTTTTCAAACTATAGTTGTCTATGACTCTCTCTAAGCAGTCCGGAGTTTCTCCTCAGAAGATTCCCCACTATATCTCTTCTGAATTCCCAGCCCGTGGCCTCCTCAAGGTCTCCCTACATATCAACATGTAGGATATATATATATATATCTGCAACCCAATCACAACATTGTCAACTGACTCCTCTATTCCTCTGGTTTCAGTTGTTGGGAAAGCTATTTCTGATTATCATACACCACACAAACGCACTTTATAGGTTTATTCTGGAAGAATACTTTCCTCAAATCACTTACAATTACACTTATAAATTCTCAATCATCTAACCTTTGACTTTTCATTCACCATAATATCAGGTTCCAGCAAAAGCTTGACTATCACTATCATTCCATTAGTATTTGCCACTCGTCTCCCACAATTCTCCACCTCCCTCGAGATTAAAAGCGTGCACATTTGAGTGAGTGTATCTCGTGCACAGGGAGTTGACCTGACTAATTGCCAGATCTACCAGAATATAATATCAATCTCCACATTTCTCCATCAAAACCACACACTACTCCAGGAACAATCTTGACTGCAGACATGGCCCCAGCATTTTTTTAAACTATAACCAGCCAACTTCTCAAACTATTACCTCCTGCCTTCCATATCTTGCTGCCAAGAGTAAAGAACCCATGTAGATTTCTTTTCTGCTTTTACACATTTCTCTCCTCTAAAAGTCCTCCATAAAACACACAAAAAAGAGAAGGCTTTGGGTTTTGCTCCTTCAGCTAAACATCCATTTTCTGATTATGCCTCTATTATAAATTTTTGGATGACCTCCTAATTGCTGAAGTGTTTACTAAGTTGAGTTTTTACAACCTACTGAGAAACACGGGCCAGGGTCCACACACAGATTCAATTCAGAAATAAACTAGGAAGAGTAGACAACTCAGCCTTATGAGCCTACTCCATCTTTCAACAGTATAATGGCAGACCTGCCATATTCTCAATTGGCCCTCCATACCCCTTGATGCCTTTTAAACTGAAAAAAAATCTTGATTATGATGAGTGAACTGGCCTCCACAGCCTTCTGTGATAGACAATTTCACAGATTCACTAGGCTATGGGTGAAAAGAACGTTCCCTCATCTCAGCCCTAAATGATCCACCCCAGATCCTGAGATTGTGTCCCTGGTTCTAAACTCTTCAGTCAGGGATAATATCTTCCCTGCATCTAGTCCGTACAGCTTTGTTAGAATTTTATGTTTCAAGCTGATCGCTCATCCTTCTAAACTCTAGTGAATCTAGCCCAGTAAAACCATTCTTTCCTTAAGGGACAGTCCTGCCATCCTCAGTATCAGCCTAGTGAACAGCTGCTGCATTCTGTGGAAAGTATATACTTTCTTAGCAAGCAGACCAAAACTGCAAGCAATACGCCAGCCCTGCATAACTGCAGTTAGACATCCCTCCTTCTAAACTCAACTCCTATTGCAATGAAGGTCCACATTTGTCTGCCTGCATTGCCTATATCCAGATGTCTTTGCACATTCACACCTCCTAATATATCTACTGAATAATGGTCTTCCCTTCTATATTTAACACCGAAGTATATAACTTCGCATTTCCCAAAGTTGTACTGCATCTGCCATGTTCTTGCCCCACTCACTTAACTTGACTAAATCACCTTGAGGCCTCCTTGTGTATCTGGTGTCCAAACAGTGATTCTTGCAGTATCCCACCAGTATACCATTTGGGGAAAGAACTATTTATTTTCCCACTCGGCTTCGTGTCTGTAAATCAATTCTTGATCTGTGCCAACATATTACCCCTACCGCACTTGTTTTAGTTTTATCCACTAATGTCTTTAGAGAGACCTTTTCAAGAAAAAAAAAATCTGTATCAATACAAAGGCAGTTTACTTTTAATAGACCCCCACAGGTCATCAGAGCATGAAACAAGTCTTAAGCTGTTTTAGTGGTCTAAGACGACAGGGCTGGAAAAACATGAGCTTTTCTTTGTGTTCAGTGAGGAAAACATTAAGTGTATTAGCTTGACTCTCTGGGAGAGACAGACAGAATTCACATCTGGTTTTACGTGCAGAAAGTTGTTCAAAGGGAACGCTAATAACCTTATCAGTTGAGTAAGAAATTTTAAATAGAAGATGTGGATGAAACATCACTGTGTTGAAAGTCCATAAAGGATTTTTATGGAGGAGAGGCAAGAGATTAAACAAAGTCCAATCTTTTTTGTTGTATAAAAGTCTTTTAACATTGTCATTTTTAGGTTTTATTTATTCTTTTGTGTAATA